AGATAGGAGAAACAAGCTTATGACGACGTTTCGGTCCGACTTGGACAATTGACTCGTAGTCAGTGGTCCAAGTAGTAGACCATTGACTACTAGTAGTCCACCTCGCTCCTATATTTGTCCAACCTATTTTTAAACCCCCAACTGTATTTCTAAATGTATATGTCGACTGTGTTAAAACATCCGTAAATTTAAAAAAAATTAGTTACCAGATAATTCAATAAGAGAAAACTGAATCTTATAGGAATAATGAAGCTAATTGTTATAGAAATGCAATTAGATGAACGTAGATAAGTGTGTTTATGGAGTAACTTGCAATGTGAACACTGACTGATGTTGTAGTGGCCAGGATTAGGCTTGATTACAAGTACTGACTGATGTTGTAGTGGCCAGGCTTAGGCTTGGTTACAAGTACTGACTGATGTTGTAGTGGCCAGGCTTAGGCTTGGTTACAAGCACTGACTGATGTTGTAGTGGCCAGGCTTAGGCTTGGTTACAAGTACTGACTGATGTTGTAGTGGCCAGGCTTAGGCTTGGTTACAAGTACTGACTGATGTTATAGTGGCCAGGCTTAGGCTTGGTTACAAGTACTGACTGATGTTGTAGTGGCCAGGCTTAGGCTTGGTTACAAGTACTGACTGATGTTATAGTGGCCAGGCTTAGGCTTGGTTACAAGTACTGACTGATGTTATAGTGGCCAGGCTTAGGCTTGGTTACAAGTACTGACTGATGTTATAGTGGCCAGGCTTAGGCTTGGTTACAAGTACTGACTGATGTTATAGTGGCCAGGCTTAGGCTTGGTTACAAGTACTGACTGATGTTGTAGTGGCCAGGCTTAGGCTTGGTTACAAGTACTGACTGATGTTATAGTGGCCAGGCTTAGGCTTGGTTACAAGTACTGACTGATGTTGTAGTGGCCAGGCTTAGGCTTGGTTACAAGTACTGACTGATGTTGTAGTGGCCAGGCTTAGGCTTGGTTACAAGTACTGACTGATGTTGTAGTGGCCAGGCTTAGGCTTGGTTACAAGTACTGACTGATGTTGTAGTGGCCAGGCTTAGGCTTGGTTACAAGTACTGACTGATGTTATAGTGGCCAGGCTTAGGCTTGGTTACAAGTACTGACTGATGTTGTAGTGGCCAGGCTTAGGCTTGGTTACAAGTACTGACTGATGTTGTAGTGGCCAGGCTTAGGCTTGGTTACAAGTACTGACTGATGTTGTATTTGGCCAGGCTTAGGCTTGGTTACAAGTACTGACTGATGTTGTAGTGGCCAGGCTTAGGCTTGGTTACAAGTACTGACTGATGTTGTAGTGGCCAGGCTTAGGCTTGGTTACAAGTACTGACTGATGTTATAGTGGCCAGGCTTAGGCTTGGTTACAAGTACTGACTGATGTTGTAGTGGCCAGGCTTTAGGCTTGGTTACAAGTACTGACTGATGTTGTAGTGGTCAGGCTTAGGCTTGGTTACAAGCACTGACTGATGTTGTAGTGGCCAGGCTTAGGCTTGGTTACAAGTACTGACTATGTTGTAGTGGCCAGGCTTAGGCTTGGTTACAAGTACTGACTGATGTTGTAGTGGTCAGGCTTAGGCTTGGTTACAAGCACTGACTGATGTTGTAGTGGCCAGGCTTAGGCTTGTTACAAGTACTGACTGATGTTGTAGTGGTCAGGCTTAGGCTTGGTTACAAGCACTGACTGATGTTGTAGTGGCCAGGCTTAGGCTTGGTTACAAGTAACTGACTGATGTTGTAGTGGTCAGCTTAGGCTTGGTTACAAGTACTGACTGATGTTGTAGTGGCCAGGCTTAGGCTTGGTTACAAGTACTGACTGATGTTGTACTGGCCAGGCTTAGGCTTGGTTACAAGTACTGACTGATGTTGTAGTGGTCAGGCTTAGGCTTGGTTACAAGTACTGACTGATGTTGTAGTGGCCAGCTTAGGCTTGGTTACAAGTACTGACTGATGTTGTAGTGGCCAGGCTTAGGCTTGGTTACAAGCACTGACTGATGTTGTAGTGGCCAGGCTTAGGCTTGGTTACAAGTACTGACTGATGTTGTAGTGGCCAGGCTTAGGCTTGGTTACAAGTACTGACTGATGTTGTAGTGGCCAGGCTTAGGCTTGGTTACAGGCACTGACTGATGTTGTAGTGGCCAGGCTTAGGCTTGGTTACAAGTACTGACTGATGTTGTAGTGGCCAGGCTTAGGCTTGGTTACAAGTACTGACTGATGTTGTAGTGGTCAGGCTTAGGCTTGGTTACAAGTACTGACTGATGTTGTAGTGGCCAGGCTTAGGCTTGGTTACAAGTACTGACTGATGTTGTAGTGGCCAGGCTTAGGCTTGGTTACAAGCACTGACTGATGTTGTAGTGGCCAGGCTTAGGCTTGGTTACAAGTACTGACTGATGTTGTAGTGGCCAGGCTTAGGCTTGGTTACAAGTACTGACTGATGTTGTAGTGGCCAGGCTTAGGCTTGGTTACAAGCACTGACTGATGTTGTAGTGGCCAGGCTTAGGCTTAGTTACAAGTACTGACTGATGTTGTAGTGGCCAGGCTTAGGCTTAGTTACAAGTACTGACTGATGTTGCAGTGGCCAGGCTTAGGCTTGGTTACAAGTACTGACTGATGTTGTAGTGGCCAGGCTTAGGCTTGGTTACAAGTACTGACTGATGTTGTAGTGGCCAGGCTTAGGCTTGGTTACAAGTACTGACTGATGTTGTAGTGGTCAGGCTTAGGCTTGGTTACAAGTACTGACTGATGTTGTAGTGGTCAGGCTTAGGCTTGGTTACAAGTACTGACTGATGTTGTAGTGGTCAGGCTTAGGCTTGGTTACAAGTACTGACTGATGTTGTAGTGGCCAGGCTTAGGCTTGGTTACAAGCACTGACTGATGTTGTAGTGGTCAGGCTTAGGCTTGGTTACAAGTACTGACTGATGTAGTGGTCAAGCTTAGGCTTGGTTACAAGTACTGACTGATGTTGTAGTGGTCAGGCTTAGGCTTGGTTACAAGTACTTCTGGCAGTTTGAGAGATACACAGATTGATCAAACCAAATGCAAATTATGTGATCAGGTCTATGGTCACTGTTTTGAACACTATGTGCTCTGTTATCCACTTATTTCAGGAATTCAGGAATTTAGAGATAGACAGTATAATAACCTGTGATATATCAAGATATATTATTAATGAAAATAAGATACCAGACATATTTTAAGTAAATTTCTTAAATTTGCTTGCAGCAAATACGTGAACTGTGGATATAAATGCAAATGTAACCCTGTTACCAATTTGGGGTTTAGTTTTAGGCCTTTTATGTATCCATATGTTCTAGCGCTACCCTCCACAGGATGGATATGTTCTTGCGCTACCATCCACAGGATGGATATGTTCTAGCACTACCATCCACAGGATGGATATGTTCTAGCACTACCATCCACAGGATGGATATGTTCTAGCACTACCCTCCACAGGATGGATATGTTCTAGCGCTACCCTCCACAGGATGGATATGTTCTAGCGCTACCCTCCACAGGATAGATATGTTCTAGCGCTACCCTCACAAGGATTTGATATGTTCTAGCGCTACCCTCCACAGGATAGATATGTTCTAGCGCTACCCTCCACAGGATAGATATGTTCTTGCGCTACCCTCCACAGGATAGATATGTTCTAGCGCTACCCTCCACAGGATAGATATGTTCTAGCGCTACCCTCCACAGGATAGATATGTTCTAGCGCTACCCTCCACAGGATGGATATGTTCTTGCGCTACCCTCCACAGGATAGATATGTTCTAGCGCTACCCTCCACAGGATGGATATGTTCTAGCACTACCCTCCACAGGATAGATATTTCTGGCGCTAAACCTCCACAGGATAGATATGTTCTAGCGTACCCTCCACAGGATAGATATGTTCTTGCGCTACCCTCCACAGGATAGATATGTTCTTGCGCTACCCTCCACAGGATAGATATGTTCTTGCGCTACCCTCCACAGGATAGATATGTTCTTGCGCTACCCTCCACAGGATAGATAATGTTCTAGCGCTAACCCTCCACAGGATAGATATGTTCTAGCGCTACCCTCCACAGGATGGATATGTTCTTGCGCTACCCTCCACAGGATGGATATGTTCTAGCGCTACCCTCCACAGGATGGATATGTTCTAGCGCTACCCTCCACAAGGATAGATATGTTCTTGGGGCACCTCCACAGGATAGATATGTTCTTGCGCTACCCTCCACAGGATAGATATGTTTCTTGCGCTACCCTCCACAGGAAGGATATGTTCTAGCGCTACCCTCCACAGGATAGATATGTTCTTGCGCTTACCCTCCACAGGATGGATATGTTCTAGCGCTAACCCTCCACAGGATAGATATGTTCTTGCGCTAACCCTCCACAGGATAATATTTCTTGCGCTACCCTCCACAGGATAGATATGTTCTTGCGCTACCCTCCACAGGAATGGATATGTTCTTAGCGCTAACCCTCACAGGGTAGATAGTTCTAGCGCTACCCTCCACAGGATAGATATGTTCTAGCGCTAAACCTCACAGGATAGATATGTTCTAGCGCTACCCTCCACAGGATAGATATGTTCTGGCGCTACCCTCCACAGGATGGATATGTTCTAGCGCTACCCTCCACAGGATAGATATGTTCTTGCGCTACCCTCCACAGGATGGATATGTTCTAGCGCTACCCTCCACAGGATAGATATGTTCTTGCGCTACCCTCCACAGGATAGATATGTTCTAGCGCTACCCTCCACAGGATGGATATGTTCTAGCGCTACCCTCCACAGGATAGATATGTTCTAGCGCTACCCTCCACAGGATAGATATGTTCTTGCGCTACCCTCCACAGGATGGATAAGGGGTGCACAATAAATTAACAGTTTCGGTGGTAGAATATAATCTTTCATGAGAGAGGACATCATCCATCAGCTATTGTCCTGTAGATAAAAAGAGACAATTACAGAGAGATACACACAGTTAGAGACTTACCTGATCACATTACAAAGAGACAGTGCCACCCAGGAGCCGATCACACCTCTGACCACACCCTGATACTCACACTGCCTCGGCCACACCTGCAAAATGTTCTGTATATATAATATATATATATATATATATATATATATTATATATATATATATATATATATATATATATATAATATATATAAAATTACCGTGATATTAAAATCATAGATAACATCTGACAGTAGCTCTTATGAGTGTCGGTACTCTGGCTTAATTTTTTTGTGTGTGTGTGTCTGTGTAGAGAGAGAGAGAGAGAGAGAGAGAGGAGAGAGAGAGAGAGACCCTGAGCCGCACAGTGTGTGTGGTTCAGGGTGTGGTATGTGTGGCTCATAAGATGAAGTGTGCAGCTACAGAGTATGGCTATGTGATTCAGAATTTGGTACATGTGATATGTATCTTTCTGTCTCTCTCTCCATCACTGTCGTCTCTCACCGTTAACTCTGACACTTGTCGTCTTCACTGAAAAGGTCACCGATAATGAGGAAGGTTTGAGAGAGGCCAGATAGTCTCCCTTCCTCTACTGCTAATACTGTCACTACCACTTCCATTGCTACTACAACCACTACCCCGACTACTACTACTACTATTCCTACTACTACTACTACTCTCTATTACTACTACTACTACTACTATTATTATTACTACTACTACTACTACTACTACTACTATTCCTACTACTACTACTATTCCTACTACTACTCTCTATTACTACTACTGCTACTACTACTATTACTACTACTGCTACTACTACTACTACTACTACTACTACTACTACTACTACTACTACTACTACTACTACTACTACTACTACTACTACTACTACTATTAATACTACTAATTCTCAGTACCACAGATACCAACATTACTGGCTAACAATACTACCACGTCTTATCACCACAACTTCTAATATTACTCATATTACTGCAGGTTATTATATGTCTCAGTTATTCATTCTTCGTACATTGAGATAACTTACCGACACTTCTCCGTGGGCAGGCTCGGTGTAACTGGCTCCCAGAAGGTCCCTGTGAGAATGAAAAAAAAATCAGTGTGTACTTTAATAAACGTGTTCACAACCCCGTTATGGCACTTTAAATCAGTGCCTGATGGTATTTAACTCGCCCGTTCATGTCTAGGAGTTCCACCACTCTCCCGATCATCCTCTAGATAGCATTATCTTTATCTGTTATCTTAGATAGCGCGCAGTTTGTGATCTACATCCTGCTTGCTTGTGCAGGTCGAGATCACAGTCTTGCAGTGCGATACTGACTGTCTGTTATCGTGACTGACTGCTGGAACTACTGTACCCTGACTGTTTAGCACTGTTCTGACAGTTGTCGTTACCACTGAATTGCGAAGGGAAAAAAGATAATAATAATAATAATAATAATAATAATAATAATAATAATAATAATAATAATAATAATAATAATAATAATAATAATAATAGAAACGTAGAAGAAGGAATAAGAGCGAGAAGTTACCTGGTGGGATGTAGGTCGAGAATAATGTGATGCTCCTTCGTCAGGAACTCCACCGTCAGTAGTGACTCCGCCTTCTGCTCCTCGAAATACATACCGGAGGTGTTAGGTAAAAAGACACAAGTGCAACTAATTTGTATATATATATATATATATATATATATATATATATATATATATATATATATATATATATATATATATATATATATATATATATATATATATTTATAATATATATATTTATATATTATATATATATATATATATATATATATATATATATAAATATAATATTTATATGTATATGTGTGTGTGTGTGTGTGTGTGTGTGTTGTGTGTACTCACCTAGTTTTACTCACCTAGTTGAGGTTGCAGGGGTCGAGTCCAAGCTCCTGGCCCCGCCTCTTCACTGGTCGCTACTAGGTCACTCTCCCTGAACCATGAGCTTTATCGTACCTCTGCTTAAAGCTATGTATGAATCCTGCCTCCACTACATCGCTTCCCAAACTATTCCACTTACTGACTACTCTGTGGCTGAAGAAATACTTCCTAACATCCCTGTGATTCATCTGTGTCTTCAGCTTCCAACTGTGTCCCCTTGCTACTGTGTCCAATCTCTGGAACATCCTGTCTTTGTCCACCTTGTCAATTCCTCTCAGTATTTTGTAAGTCGTTATCATGTCCCCCCTATCTCTCCTGTTCTCCAGTGTCGTCAGGTTGATTTCCCTTAACCTCTCCTCGTAGGACATACCTCTTAGCTCTGTTGCAAACCTTTGCACTTTCTCTAGTTTCTTTACATGCTTGGCTAGGTGTGGGTTCCAAACTGGTGCCGCATACTCCAATATGGGCCTAACGTACACGGTGTACAGGGTCCTGAACGATTCCTTATTAAGATATCGGAATGCTGTTCTGAGGTTTGCCAGGCGCCCATATGCTGCAGCAGTTATTTGGTTGATGTGCGCTTCAGGAGATGTGCCTGGTGTTATACTCACCCCAAGATCTTTTTCCTTGAGTGATGTTTGTAGTCTCTGGCCCCCTAGACTGTACTTCGTCTGCGGTCTTCTTTGCCCTTCCCCAATCCTCATGACTTTGCACTTGGTGGGATTGAACTCCACGAGCCAATTGCTGGACCAGGTCTGCAGCCTGTCCAGATCCCTTTGTAGTTCTGCCTGGTCTTCGATCGAATGAATTCTTCTCATCAACTTCACGTCATCTGCAAACAGGGACACCTCGGAGTTTATTCCTTCCGTCATGTCGTTCACAAATACCAGAAACAGCACTGGTCCTAGGACTGACCCCTGTGGGACCCCGCTGGTCACAGGTGCCCATTCTGACACCTCGCCACGTACCATTAATCGCTGCTGTCTTCCTGACAAGTATTCCCTGATCCATTGTAGTGCCTTCCCTGTTATCCCTGCTTGGTCCTCCAGTTTTTGCACTAATCTCTTGTGTGGAACTGTGTCAAACGCCTTCTTGCAGTGTGTGAGTGTATGTGTGTGTGAATGTGTGTGGTGTGTGTGTGTGTGTGTGGTGGTGTGTGTGTGTGTGTGTGTGTGTGTGTGTGTGTGTGTGTGTGTGTGTGTGTGTGTGTGTGTGTGTGTGTGTGTGTGTGTGTGTGTGTGTGTGTGTGTGTGTGTGTGTAAGCGAAACATTTCAACGTTTTTAAAGATACCCAACTGTTGTACATGTGTCATAATGTTCAACTTGTCTGTATTATATACCATTTTCAACAAGACTACTGCAGTGTTCCTTCAGTTTTGTACACACTGTAGGTAACAATTTCTGTACGTTACTTACGATCGCTGCTGTGAATGACCTGCTCAGAACTAGACACCCGAGATATGTCACTATTTCATGTGACATTTGTGCAGTATTTGGGAATCTATTTTGAGGAAACGTTTGGCTAGCCAGAGAAGAACGGTGAAATATAAGGAGGAGAATGAGGTAATCAGTCCCTCAGCCTGGAGTCGGCGTGTTCAGTCCATTAATATTGTATTAGTAACACTTATTACAATTGTATTATAATTTAGAATTTATAGGTAGTACTTAGTAGTGATTGATTAGTTGATGGAGTTGATGATTTACCTCGAGTTCGGCGAGGTGTTAGCGTGGGCGTGGGGTGTGGGTGTGGGCGTGGGTAGAGAGATGGGTAATGACAGGAACAACAGCCACGTCTAGTACCTCCGTGTCTGAGAACCATCCTGGGTTAAGAGACAGGTAAACAAACAGGTTTCAATACAACCGGTGGATATGTTATGAGTCGGGGGGATGGAGCGCCAGGAGCTGCGACACGCAAACTAAAAAGACAGACAAATACACAACCGGCCACAAATAAAGTAGATAAAATTCCATAAGGTGAATACAGAACGGATGTCCGGCATAATAAAGTTATATTTCTATGAAGGGAACTAAAGCCAGTCATGAACACTATGTCATCTTTATTACTGTTTTCTTACCTGACTTCTGTGTCTCTTGTTTATCGGCATCTTCAGCTGTTTTTTCTGATCTCTCTCCCTTCTCGTCGTCGTCTTCTGTTCCGCTATCATTGGTTTTCATCCTACTGGCTTTCATTTCGTTTCTTGAAGACTGTTTTTCTCTGTTTACGCTGTTCTTAGGTTCTTCTCTTCTGTCTTGTGGTTTTTCGTTCACCTTCTTCGTTGGCAAAGTTCCGGTTTCGTTCACTGTGTCATTTATTCTCGCAAGGTTATTGTGGTTCGTTATTCTTTCTAGTTCACTGACGTGGTGTTGGAGGGAGGAGTCCACACCATCTTCGTTGCCCAAGACTCTTACATCCTCGGTAGCTTCTTCAGCAGATACCAAGGGATAGTGGTCTGGGGAACGCGAGACCAGTGAGAACCCAGCATCATTCCCTTCGGCAGCACTCGTTACTGCATTCAACTTTCCCGGTTCTCCCGTAACATTCACCAGCTGCTGAGGAATATCGGCTGGACGTTCTTTAGGAGAGGAAGTCGAGAGGCGCCCAGTAACACCTCCAGTCACGTTCTCAACCCCAGAGACCTCCAGAACTTCTTGAAGAGGCAAGACAGAGAGGTCGGGATGTGGGTGTTCAGAAGCCTCCACTGGGAGGAAGCCAAGCCAGAAGGTGAATAACCAAAGAGTTAGAAAGCTTCCTGAAGGCATTCCTCCAACAAGGAGCCAAGCGTTCTTCATCGTCAAGGACAACTTACGAGAAAACTGATATTCTTACTGCAGACGAAAGATTAACCCGTCCTGGATCACTTACACGCAATTTAACTCTTTCGCAGGACGGTACAAGAGGAAAGGGAAAAACAGAAGAGCTCTTACAATTTCTTATCTATAGGGAAAGTTTTTTTTTACCATATACGATATCAACACTGGTGGAATTCGCATCCGGCATGTCGTATCACAGAGCATGTTGCTTATTTATCTCTCATTTCTCTCACACTGTCTCATATAACTTATCCACGAATTAAATGCACGTAGCATAGATCATCACCACAAGGGATAGGGATAGGTCACAACTCTAGAGACGTGACACTAGTACTGACTAGTGACACTGTGAGTGACATGCAGTACTGACTGGTGGCACTGTGAGTGACACGCTAGTACTGACGGATGGCACTGTATGTTGTGATACACTAGTACTGGTCGTTGACACTGTGAGTGACACAATAGTACTGACTGGTGAAACTGTAGAGTGAGTGTGTTAGCTTTACCGACTGCATCACTCCAGTTTCCGGTGACTTATATCACCACTACCACCGCCACCACTGTTACCAACACCGTTACAGTCATCACTGTCTAAAAATGCCACTGCTATCACCACTACCTCCACCCTAAATACTAGTACCTCCATCTCCACCTCCATCACCACCACTATCACCACAGTCACCACCACCACCACTACCACAACCACCACCACTATTACCAACAACAATAAAATGATAAGACTCAATAGACAGAGCTAAAAAATCTTATCTTCAGCAAGGAAGTAGATAAATCTGTAACCACACACACGCACACACACACAACACACCCACACACACACACACACACACACACACACACACACATACACACACACACGACCCCTGCAACCACAATTAGGTGAGTACACACGCACGCACGCACGTACGCACGCACACAGTAGGAAATGCTCGAGCGATAAAAGACAGAGAGTTCAAAGTAAGGAATGAGACATCAGGATGGGATAAAAGAATGGGGTTCCCCAAGGATCAGTGTTGGGACCACTACTCTTCCTGCAAAATGGATACACAGTAAATGCATTGGAGAGAACATACAGAGAGGGATGGAGAAATTAATCCACTGTTAGGTTAGGTTAGGTAAGGTTCGTCAGGAAACAGGACAAATGTTTCCTGACGCGGGTTTAGTCAGTGATGACCCCTTGAACTTTTGTCATCTGGAACGAGGCTCGTCTTACCGGTCACCCCTTAAAATATGTTTTATTAATCATAGTGATTAATAATCCTTTTAAATGGTTGTTTTATCAGTGTTTACGATCCAGTGTTTTAAACAGTGTTTAACATCCAGCTTTTATTAGTTTTTCGGTCCTCCAAAATGTTTTATTATTCCCATATTGTTATAATCATTGTTGCCATCCAGTTGTTTTATCAGATTGTTTCGCCATCCAGTTGTTTTATCAGTTGTTTCGCCATCCAGTTGTTTTATCAGTTGTTTCGCCATCCAGTTGTTTTATCAGTTGTTTCGCCATCCAGTTGTTTTATCAGTTGTTTCGCCATCCAGTTGTTTTATCAGTTGTTTCGCCATCCAGTTGTTTTATCAATTGTTTCGCCATCCAGTTGTTTTATCAGTTGTTTCGCCATCCAGTTGTTTTATCAGTTGTTTCGCCATCCAGTTGTTTTATCAATTGTTTCGCCATCCAGTTGTTTTATCAATACAATGACATAATGTGAAGACTGTAGAAGTATATACAAAAGATGAGGTAATCAGTCCCTGAGCCTAAGAGCAGGTGATGAGCACCGTAGTCTTCAAGACTACGGTGATAAACTCCACAGAGACCTCAACAGGCTGCAGATATAGTCAAACAAATGGCTGCTAGAGTTCAACCCAAACAAATGTAAGGTCATGCGTTACAGAGAAGGACAGGACAGACCGGTCACAGAGCACAGCATGAGCGGAGAGAAGCTATAAATATCAGGGAGTGAAAAGGACCTGAGGGTGAATACAACACCGAACATATCACCAGACTCCTACATGAACCACACAACGTCAGTAACTTATGTAAGATTAGCAAACTTCAGAATAACATTGAGAAAGTGAACAAAGAATCCTTCAGAGCCTTATTGACGACATATGTTAAGTCAGTCACTGAGTACACAGCCCCAGCATGGAGCCCACACCTGGTCAAGCACTTGAAGAAACTGGAAAAGGTGTAAATGTTTGCAACTAGACTAGTACCAGTACTGAACAATTTACTACGAGGAGAGATGCAGGGAACTGATTAATAATAATAATAATAATAATAATAATAATAATAATAATAATAATAATAATAATAATATTATTATTATTATTATTATTATTATTATTATTATTATTATTATTATTATTATTACAACTAAGCGCTAAACCCACAAGGATCATATAGCGCTGCTTCAAGGAACTGAACCTGACGATCTAAGAAAGTATGAATAGATGGAGAGGATGGATAGATGGACACAGGTAGATAGATGGACACAAGTGGATAGATGGACACAGGTTATCCTATTATCCTGTTATCCTATTTTATTCCTCTTCCTCCTTCTACCCCCCCGTTCCTCCTCCTCCTCTACCACTCCCTTCTTCTCCTCCTCCACCCCTTCTTCTCCTCCGCTCCCTTCTCCTCTACCTCCTTGTTCTTCTCCACCCCCTTCTTTTCCTCCATCCCTTCTTCTCCTTCACCCCCTCCTCCTCCTCCTCCTCCTCCTTTTCCCCTTTCTTCTCCTCCTCTTCCTTCTCCTCCTCTTCCTTCTCCTCCTCTTCCTCCTCCTTCACTTTCTTCTCCTCTTTCTAAGTCTCACTCAAGTAATTTATCTATCACAGGTTTAAATTGGAAGCGCTAAACCTGTAGGAGTCCCCCAGAACCAGGGGAATAGGAGGCAATGAAGTTAAATCAGATTTTCTCCAATTACTTGGATGAAGAGCCCTTCAGGATCATGTTAGAGGATGGGGAGGAAATTTTCGACAGAGAATTTTCTGACGAGACAAAAAGTTCAAAGGTCAATAAAAACATTGGTCAGATATTTTATTTTTATCAATAAAGTTGAAAATTCTTTATCCTTGGAAATTGTTAATTGATCTTTAAACAACTGACTTTTATTGTGTGAGTGTGTGTGTGTGTGTGTGTGTGTGTGTGTGTGTGTGTGTGTGTGTGTGTGTGTGTGTGTGTGTGTGTGTGTGTGTGTGTGTGTGTGTGTGTGTGTGTGTGTGTGTGTGTATGTGTGTGGTGTGTGTGTGTGTTGTGTGTGTGTGTGTGTGTGTGTGTGTGTGTGTGTGGTGTGTGTGTGTGTGTGTGTGTGTGTGTGGTGTGTGTGTGTGTGTTGTGTGGTGTGTGTGTGTGTGTGTGTGTGTGTGTGTGTGTGTGTGTGTGTGTATGTGTGTGTGTGTGTGTGTGTGTGTGTGTGTGTGTGTGTTTTGTGTGTGTTGTGTGTGTGTGTGTGTGGTGTGTGTGTGTGTATGTGTGTTGTGTGTGTGTGTGTGTTGTGTGTGTGTAGTGTGTGTGTGTGTGTGTGTGTGTGTGTGTGTGTGTGTGTGTGTGTGTGTGTGTGTGTGTGTGTTGTGTGTGTGTGTGTGTGTGTGTGTGTGTGTGTGTGTTGTGGTGTGTGTGTGTGTGTGTGAGTGTGTGTGTGTGTATGTGTGTGTGTGTGTGTGTGTGTGTGTGTGTGTGTGTTGTGTGTGTGTGTGTGTGTGTGATGTGTGTGTGTGTGTGTGTGTGTGATATTTACAGAGCACATACGTGATTTTCACTGGATTTCATCCGTGTAAATCACGGACACATACGTGTAAATCACGTGTACATGCCATGTAAATCATGTGTTCATACCGTGTTAATCATACGTACATACTGTGTAAATCATGGATACATACTGTGTAAATCATGGATACATACTGTGTAAATCATGGATACATACCGTGTAAATCATGGATACATACGTGTAAATCATGGATACATACTGTGTAAATCATGGATACATACTGTGTAAATCATGGATACATACTGTGTAAATCATGGATACATACTGTGTAAATCATGGATACATACTGTGTAAATCATGGATACATACCGTGTAAATCATGGATACATACTGTGTAAATCATGGATACATACTGTGTAAATCATGGATACATACTGTGTAAATCATGGATACATACTGTGTAAATCATGGATACATACTGTGTAAATCATGGATACATACCGTGTAAATCATGGATACATACTGTGTAAATCATGGATACATACTGTGTAAATCATGGATACATACTGTGTAAATCATGGATACATACTGTGTAAATCATGGATACATACTGTGTAAATCATGGATACATACTGTGTAAATCATGGATACATACTGTGTAAATCATGGATACATACGTGTAAATCATGGATACATACTGAGTAAATCATGGATACATACTGTGTAAATCATGGATACATACTGTGTAAATCATGGATACATACTGTGTAAATCATGGATACATACGTGTAAATCATGGATACATACTGTGTAAATCATGGATACATACTGAGTAAATCATGGATACATACTGTGTAAATCATGGATACATACTGTGTAAATCATGGATACATACTGTGTAAATCATGGATACATACTGTGTAAATCATGGATACATACTGTGTAAATCATGGATACATACTGTGTAAATCAAGATGAAAATATAAGCCCTTTGGCTCTTATGTTTTCCCCTTAATAATAATAATAATAATAATAATAATAATAATAATAATAATAATAATAATAATAATAATAATAATGGCAGTGGTAAAAATAAAATTATATAAAAAAATAAGAAATCACTTTTAACTTTTTTTTTAGCACATCGGCCGTCTCCCACCGAGGCAGGGTGACCCAAAAAGAAAGAAAAACCCCAAAAGAAAACAAACCTTCATCATCATTCAACACTTTCACCATCACTCATACATAATCACCGTCTTTACAGAGGCGCTCAGATACGACAGTTTAGGCGTCCCTCCAAACTGTCAATATCACAAACCTCTCCTTTAAAGTGCACTCATTGTTCTTCCCATTTCCAGGACTCAAGTCCAGATAACCGGTTTCCCTGAATCCCTTCACAAAATATTACCCTGCTTACACTCCAACAGCTCGTCAGGTCCCAAAAACCATTTGTCTCCATTCACTCAAACATAAAAAACAACTGAGAGTTAATTCACAATATCTTCGTGTGTCTTCCACTAAACTGTTTTAAACTGCCCTTCAGTGGCAGTGAACGATTAAAGTCACTGTCCGAGGTACTAACGCTGAATCACTGTCCGAGGTACTAACGCTGAGGTACTAACGCTGAATCACTATCCGAGGTACTAACGCTGAGGTACTAACGCTGAGGTACTAACGCTGAGTCACTGTCTGGGCACGTGCCTGTCATATAACTGTGGACAAAAATTTGCATACCTCTATTCGAATTACCTGCCCGTCTCGAGGAAGCATAGGCAACATTGTTCATCATAACATCAATGGTACATAATACCGATAAACTGAAATATTAGACACAAGACTTCAGTTCTGAACATCTGCTTCTATGCTGAGGGACTGAATACCTTATCTTCAACCTCTTCAGTTTTCTGTTTTAGGCCGTGTACTGGACTGATAAAGCCACTGGTTGTCGAAACGTCTACATAATAAAGGCACCCGGTTGTTGCACATGTGTCTAATACTTCAACATTGTTCATCTTCTTCCGTGACTACTGGCATTCGTACCTAAGACATGACTGTCTACCAGACATCCGTCAGTGTGTGTGGGTCTTTGGCTGTTTGGAAATACTGTGACTAGAATATGCTCTTTGATTCATTGTCAGATTTGAGTATTTATGCTTTAGGATTCCTAAAGTAATCAGGGATGGATCATCACAAGAGAATGTTTGCCAGCTTAGTTTAAGGACACGAAAGGATTCTCATATGAAAACATTCCCAGGTGTGTTTGAGGACACTGTAATATCGTCACAAGGAAACGTTCGTCATCTCGGTTTGAGGACATGGTAGTATCATCAGAATGAAAAGTTCTCCAGCTTGGTTTCAGAAAACAATGGTATCATTACAGGAAAGCTTTCGCAAGCTTATGGATTAAACAGAATTTTTTTTTTCTATAAAATAAACATAGGTATGAGCGCTTTAGATTCGAACCTGTAAACTCCGGCCAGGGACATGTGAGTATATGTTCCCGGCTGTGTTGCCGGCCACAGTTTTGGGAAGAAGAGCAGCTAACGAACTGATACAAAAATGTACACTGAGAGTTTAAATTAATTCCTGATTTAAAGAGTCAAGAATTCTTGACTGGTGGTGAACAGTTTACATTTAGCCTTAATGAATTTGTTTTGTCCAAATTCCCCGCACAAACTTTCCTACGGAGCATCGAACTTACGAGCGAGTTCCATTACATTTTTCTTCTGGCTCGTGTTGCCGTGGTTCGTAGTGGACTTCGATGGGGCGAGCTCTGGCCTTCCGGCTTTTGAGGGAGTCTTTGGTGCCGGTCTGAACGACTGTTTGCTGATAGAGTCAGCAGGATTTCCTCTCGTAGGGAATTTGGTGTGTATAGGTGCTACGTCGGTCTTCGAAGAAGCCTGAGACTCCTTCAGCGTGGGAAGAGGAGGTGAAGTTTTATCAGGAGGGGAAGACTTGCGGAATGGGACCTTTGGCCTTTTAGGAGGTTGAGAGACTGTCTTGCCTTTAGAAGCACTGTCATCGTGGATGCCATTACGAATGCTTTGTTTTCCATTTAAGTTATTAGAACATTTTTCTTTCTTCTCAGGTTGGATGAATGGACTGTTTGCCACTTTAGAATCGCTGATTAAGTTCTCGTCGCTCTTGTGAGGCTTTAGCTTGACTGGTGGGGGAGGCGGAGCGCCTGCAAGTCTTCCTCTGCCGTAGGAGACGTCAATAGACACAGAGCGACGGAAGTCTGGCCTAATATGATCAGGTGGAGGTGAGCCTTGCCTTGAGTTCCGGTTGCTTGCTAGAGGATCCACAACAAAACGTCTTAGAGGCATTGATTTCTGACTCCCGAATGCCCTTGAACGTCGATTTTCAACTTCCGGAGCAGCCCTAGAGGTCTTGGGTGCTAAACTTCATGAAAGCGCTGATGAGGCTCGTCATTGACATGTGGATGGAAGATCGCTTGCTGGCGATTCCTTCCTCAGAATCAGACACACACCCCGAGTCCAACGAAATGGACTGCTGGTACTTGGGGCGGTCAAGGTCATCCAGAGACTTGCGGTGGAGAACCGGGGATTGCGAGGACATCTGGATCTTCCTCCGGAGATCTGGCGAGTTCTTGGGAGTGATGGTGACCAGATCCGTCACCAGTTTCTCGTCTGCCACTCCCCAGGACTTAGTCACGTTGCTCCCTTTAACATCCACATCGACGGAGCAAATCATATCCTTGTCTTCCCCCTCCTGGAGATCCTCTGAGCGATACTTCTGAATGCTGCTGTTTTTCTTCTCACCGAGCCGACAGTGATGATCCAGCGGGTGGTCTTGGACATGATAGGGCAGAAGCAAGAGTCGAGGCAGGACACGCAGCAGGGAAGAAGTGGGGAGAGGCGGGCACGACCTCGTCTGTCCCACCAGCACCTGATGTAACCCCAGCAGCAGCAGACGATGAAGAGGGACGCCACCAACAGCACCACCAGCACCCACCCCAGAGTTATCAGATAACTCTTATCTGGAAATAATAAATTATGATACTGTATATGTTCCCATGGCTGCCACAACCCCTACTTCTGCTACACACATTACTAATACTGCTGCTGATAGTACATGCATTACTACTACTACTACCACTACTACTAGTACACACATTACTAATACTGCTGCTGATAGTACATGCATTACTCTTACTACAACTACTGTTAGTACATATATTACCCCTAGTACCTCTACTACTAGTACACGCATTACTATTACTACTACCACCACTAGTACACACATTACTACTACTACTACTAGTACTAGTACATACATTACTACTACTACCACTACTACTCGTACACACATTACTATTACCACCACTACTACTAATACACACAATACTACTACTACCACTACTACTAGTACACATATTACTACTACTACTACCACTACTAGTACACACTGTACATGACTCCTTGCTTACTCCCATTTTTCCTCAGTCGTGACTTGATCAATAGCCCAGGGTGGACCGAAACATTGTCCAAAATTCGTGGATTGTGAATTGTTCCAGCCTCGGCATTATAGGTTAGTTATGAACAGCAACGGCATTGTGACTTATTCCCCACCTCTGCAAGTAACTGCAGTGAAGTAACTAATGTTACTTACACCCTCCACTGTTACTTACATCCTCCACTGTTACTTGCAACACCACTGTTACTTGCACCTCTATTGTTACTGACACTACTGTTACTTCTAGTATTACCGTCTCAGCCAAAACAGTTACAAATTCTAGCAATGACACACCCTACAATGATCCTGGGCACACCTGATACATCATGCATGTGTCCGCTATCGTAGGATCCCCCGAGTCCGGGGAAGGAGCAGTCAGGGGGAGCGAAGCCAGGATCACAGTGGCAGTGACCTCTGTTGTTGCACACCCCGCGACCCGAACACCCGTCCCGGCAGTCTCCGTCAGGAGCCGCGATCTCCACGCACTTCTGATTGACGCACATCTGCGGCAGGAGGAGAAACAAGGGTGCTTCAGATACCTGAAGTACGACTCAATCACTGTGTGTGTGTATATATATATATATATATATATATATATAATATATATATATATATATATATATATAATATATATATATATATACATATATATCATTCTTTCAACGCACCAGCCGTATCCTGCCAAGACAGGGTGGCCCAAAAAGAAAAACAAAAGCTTATCTTTTTAATTTTAGTAATGTATACAGGAGAAGGGGTTACTAGTCCCTTGCTCCCGGCATTTTAGTAGCCGCTTACAGCACGCATGACTTACAGAGTAAGAATTCTGTTCCACTCTCCCATGGAGATAAGAGGAAATAAGGAAGAACAAGAACTAGTAAGAAAATAGAAGAAAACCCAGAGGGGTATGTATATATATATGCTTGTAGATACACAGGAAGATACACAACCACACTGTGAGATCCAGCACTGGGGCCCTGATGGTCACCAGGTCAAACACTACTTTTTTGCAAGATTTCAGGTACGTCTTGCTACTTCTGCTTGCACTTAGGTCACACTACACATGCATGTACAAGCATATATATATATATAATATAAAATATATAAATATATAATATAATATATATATATATATATATATATATATATAGTAGGTTGGTAGACAGCAACCACCCAGGGAAGTACTACCGTCCTGCCAGATGACTGTGAAACAGAAACCTGTAACTGTTTTGCATGATGGTAGGATTGCTAGTTTCTTTTTCTGTCTCATAAACACCGCTAGATAACAGGGATATCTTGCTACTCCTACTTACACTTTGGTCACACTTCACAGACACGCACATGCATATATATATACATGCATCTAGGTTTTTCTCCTTTTTCTAAATAGCTCTTGTTCTCTTTATTTCCTTCTATTGTCCATGGGGAAGTGGAAAAGAATCTTTCCTCCGTAAGCCATGCGTGTCGTATGAGGCGACTAAAATGCCGGGAGCAATGGCTAGTAACCCCTTCTCCTGTAGACATTTACTAAAAAAGAGAAGAAGAAAAACTTTATAAAACTGGGATGCTTGAATGTGCGTGGATGTAGTGCGGATGACAAGAAACAGATGATTGCTGATGTTATGAATGAAAAGAAGTTGGATGTCCTGGCTCTAAGCGAAACAAAGCTGAAGGGGGTAGGCGAGTTTCAGTGGGGGGAAATAAATGGGATTAAATCTGGAGTATCTGAGAGAGTTAGAGCAAAGGAAGGGGTAGCAGTAATGTTGAATGATCAGTTATGGAAGGAGAAAAGAAAATATGAATGTGTAAATTCAAGAATTATGTGGATTAAAGTAAAGGTTGGATGCGAGAAGTGGGTCATAATAAGCGTGTATGCACCTGGAGAAGAGAGAATGCAGAGGAGAGAGAGATTTTTGGGAGATGTTAAGTGAATGTATAGGAGCCTTTAAAACCAAGTGAGAGAGTAATTGTGGTAGGGACCTGAATGCTAAAGTAGGAGAAACTTTTAGAGAGGGTGTGGTAGGTAAGTTTGAGGTGCCAGGTGTAAATGATAATGGGAGCCCTTTGATTGAACTTTGTATAGAAAGGGGTTTAGTTATAGTAATACATATTTTAAGAAAAAAGGATAAATAAGTATACAAGAATGATGTAGGGCGAAATGACAGTAGTTTGTTGGATTATGTATTGGTAGATAAAAGACTGTTGAGTAGACTTCAGGATGTACATGTTTATAGAGGGGCCACAGATATATCAGATCACTTTCTAGTTGTAGCTACACTGAGAGTAAAAGGTAGATGGGATACAAGGAGAATAGAAGCATCAGGGAAGAGAGAGGTGAAGGTTTATAAACTAAAAGAGGAGGCAGTTAGGGTAAGATATAAACAGCTATTGTAGGATAGATGGGCTAATGAGAGCATAGGCAAGGGGGTCGAAGAGGTATGGGTAGGTTTAAAAATGTAGTGTTTAGAGTGTTCAGCAGAAGTTTGTGGTTACAGGAAAGTGGGTGCGGGAGGGAAGAGGAGTGATTGGTGGAATGATGATGTAAAGAGAATAGAAAAGGGAGAAAAAGTTAGCATATGAGAATTTTTACAAAGTAGAAGTGATGCAAGGGGGGAAGAGTATATGGAAAAAAAGAGAGAGGTTAAGAGAGTGGTGAAGCAATGTAAAAAGAGAGCAAATGAGAGTGGGTGAGATGTTATCAACAATTTTGTTGAAAATAAGAAAAAGTTTTGGAGTGAGATTAACAAGTTAAGAAAGCCTAGAGAACAAATGGATTTGTCAGTTAAAAATAGGAGAGGAGAGTTATTAAATGGAGAGTTAGAGGTATTGGGAAGAGGGGAGGGAATATTTTGAGGAATTGTTAAATGTTGATGAAGATAGGGAAGCTGTGATTTCGTGTATAGGGCAAGGAGGAATAACCTCTTGTAGGAGTGAGGAAGAGCCAGTTGTGAGTGTGGGGAAGTTCGTGAGGCAGTAGGTAAAATGAAAGGGGGTAAGGCAGCCGGATTGATGGGATAAAGACAGAAATGTTAAAAGCAGGTGGGGATATAGTTTTGGAGTGGTTGGTGCAATTATTTAATAAATGTATGGAAGAGGGTAAGGTACCTAGGGATTGGCAGAGAGCATGCATAGTTCCTTTGTATAAAGGCAAAGGGGATGAAAGAGAGTGCAAAAATTATAGGGGGATAAGTCTGTTGAGTATACCTGGTAATGTGTATGGAAAGGTTATTATTGAAAGAATTAAGAGTAAGACGAAGAATAGGACAGCAGATGAACAAGGAGGCTTTAGGAATGATAGGGGGTGTGTGGACCAGGTGTTTACAGTGAAACATATAAGTGAACAGTATTTAGATAAGGCTAAAGAGGTCTTTGTGGCATTTATGGATTTGGAAAAGGCGTATGACAGGGTGGATAGGGGGGCAATGTGGCAGATGTTGCAGGTGTATGGTGTAGGAGGTAGGTTACTGAAAGCAGTGAAGAGTTTTTACGAGGATAGTGAGGCTCAAGTTAGAGTATGTAGGAAAGAGGGAAATTATTTCCCAGTAAAAGTAGGCCTTAGACAAGGATGTGTGATGTCACCGTAGTTGTTTAATATATTTATAGATGGGGTTGTAAGAGAAGTAAATGCGAGGGTCTTGGCAAGAGGCGTGGGGGTTAAAAGATAAAGAATCACACACAAAGTGGGAGTTGTCACAGCTGCTCTTTGCTGATGACACTGTGCTCTTGGAGATTCTGAAGAGAAGTTGCAGAGATTGGTGGATGAATTTGGTAGGGTGTGCAAAAGAAGAAAATTAAAGGTGAATACAGGAAAGAGTAAGGTTATGAGGATAACAAAAAGATTAGGTGATGAAAGACTGGATATCAGATTGGAGGGAGAGAGTATGGAGGAGGTGAATGTATTCAGATATTTGGGAGTGGACGTGTCAGCGGATGGGTCTATGAAAGATGAGGGGAATCATAGAATTGATGAGGGGAAAAGGGTGAGTGGTGCACTTATGAGTCTGTGGAGACAAAGAACTTTGTCCTTGGAGGCAAAGAGGGGAATGTATGAGAGTATAGTTTTACCAACGCTCTTATATGGGTGTGAAGCCCTGGGTGATGAATGTTGCAGCGAGGAGAAGGCTGGAGGCAGTGGAGATGTCATGTCTGAGGGCAATGTGTGGTGTGAATATAATGCAGAGAATTCGTAGTTTGGAAGTTAGGAGGAGGTGCGGGATTACCAAAACTGTTGTCCAGAGGGCAGAGGAAGGGTTGTTGAGGTGGTTCGACATGTAGAGAGAATGGAGCGAAACAGAATGACTTTAAGAGTGTATCAGTCTGTATTGGAAGGAAGGCAGGGTAGGGGTCGGCCTAGGAAAAGTTGGAGGGAGGGGGTAAAGGAGGTTTTGTGTGCGAGGGGCTTGGACTTCCAGCAGGCATGCGTGAGCGTGTTTGATAGGAGTGAATGGAGACAAATGGTTTTTTAATACTTGACGTGCTGTTGGAGTGTGAGCAAAGTAACATTTATGAAGGGGTTCAGGAAACCGGCAGGCCGACTTGAGTCCTGGAGATGGGAAGTACAGTGCCTGCACTCTGAAGGAGGGGTGTTAATGTTGCAGTTTAAAAACTGTAGTGTAAAGCACCCTTCTGGCAAGACAGTGATGGAGTGAATGATGGTGAAAGTTTTTCTTTTTGGGGCCACCCTGCCTTGGTGGGAATCGGCCAGTGTGATAATAAATATATATATATATAATATATATATATATATATATATATATATATATATATATATATATATATATATAAATATATAATATATATATATCTGAGAGAGTTAGAGCAAAGGAAGGGGTAGCAGTAATGTTAAATGATCAGTTATGGAAGGAGAAAAGAGAATATGAATGTGTAAATTCGAGAATTATTGGATTAAAGTAAAGGTGGATGCGAGAAGTGGGTCATAATAAGCGTGTATGCACCTGGAGAAGAGAGGAATGCAGAGGAGAGAGAGAGATTTTGGGAGATGTTAAGTGAATGTATAGGAGCCTTTGAACCAAGTGAGAGAGTAATTGTGGTAGGGGACCTGAATGCTAAAGTAGGAGAAACTTTTAGAGAGGGTGTGGTAGGTAAGTTTGGGGTGCCAGGTGTAAATGATAATGGGAGCCCTTTGATTGAACTTTGTATAGAAAGGGTTTAGTTATAGGTAATACATATTTTAAGAAAAAGAGGATAAATAAGTATACACGATATGATGTAGGGCGAAATGACAGTAGTTTGTTGGATTATGTATTGGTAGATAAAAGACTGTTGAGTAGACTTCAGGATGTACATGTTTTATAGAGGGGCCACAGATATATCAGATCACTTTCTAGTTGTAGCTACACTGAGAGTAAAAGGTAGATGGATACAAGGAGAATAGAAGCATCAGGGAAGAGAGAGGTGAAGGTTTATAAACTAAAAGAGGAGGCAGTTAGGGTAAGATATAAACAGCTATTGGAGATAGATGGGCTAATGAGAGCATAAGCAATGGGGTCGAAGAGGAATGGGTAGGTTTAAAAATGTAGTGTTAGAGTGTTCAGCAGAAGTTTGTGTGTTACAGGAAAGTGGTGCAGGAGGGAAGAGGAGCGATTGGTGGAATGATGATGTAAAGAGAGTAGTAAGGGAGAAAAAGTTAGCATATGAGAAGTTTTTTACAAAGTAGAAGTGATGCAAGGAGGGAAGAGTATATGGAAAAAAGAGAGAGGTTAAGAGAGTGGTGAAGCAATGTAAAAAGAGAGACAAATGAGAGAGTGGGTGAGATGTTATCAACAAATTTTGTTGAAAATAAGAAAAAGTTTTGGAGTGAGATTAACAAGTTAAGGAAGCCTAGAGAACAAATGGATTTGTCAGTTAAAAATAGGAGAGGAGAGTTATTAAATGGAGAGTTAGAGGTATTGGGAAGATGGAGGGAATATTTTGAGGAATTGTTAAATGTTGATGAAGATAGGGAAGCTGTGATTTCGTGTATAGGCAAGGAGGAATAACATCTTGTAGGAGTGAGGAAGAGCCAGTTGTGAGTGTGGGGGAAGTTCGTGAGGCAGTAGGTAAAATGAAAGGGGTAAGGCAGCCGGGATTGATGGGATAAAGATAGAAATGTTAAAAGCAGGTGGGGATATAGTTTTGGAGTGGTTGGTGCAATTATTTAATAATGTATGGAAGAGGGTAAGGTACCTAGGGATTGGCAAGAGCATGCATAGTTCCTTTGTATAAAGGCAAAGGGGATAAAAGAGAGTGCAAAAATTATAGGGGATAAGTCTGTTGAGTGTACCTGGTAAAGTGTATGGTAGAGTTATAATTGAAAGAATTAAGAGTAAGACGGAGAATAGATAGCAGATGAACAAGGAGGCTTTAGGAAAGGTAGGGGGTGTGTGGACCAGGTGTTTACAGTGAAACATATAAGTGAACAGTATTTAGATAAGGCTAAAGAGGTCTTTGTGGCATTTATGGATTTGGAAAAGGCGTATGAACAGGTGGATAGGTGGGCAATGTGGCAGATGTTGCAAGTATATGGTGTAGGAGGTAGGTTTACTGAAAGCAGTGAAGAGTTTTTACGTGGATAGTGAGGCTCAAGTTAGAGTATGTAGAAAGACGGAAATTTTTTCCCAGTAAAAGTAGGCCTTAGACAAGGATGTGTGATGTCACCTTGGTTGTTTAATATATTTATAGATGGGGTTGTAAGAGAAGTAAATGCGAGGGTCTTGCAAGAGGCGTGGAGTTAAAAGATAAAGAATCACACACAAAGTGGGAGTTGTCACAGCTGCTCTTTGCTGATGACACTGTGCTCTTGGGAGATTCTGAAGAGAAGCTGCAGAGATTGGTGGATGAATTTGGTAGGGTGTGCAAAGAAGAAAATTAAAGGTGAATACAGGAAAGAGTAAGGTTATGAGGATAACAAAAAGATTAGGTGATGAAAGATTGAATATCAGATTGGAGGAGAGAGTATGGAGGAGGTGAACGTATTCAGATATTTGGGAGTGGACGTGTCAGCGGATGGGTCTATGAAAGATGAGGTGAATCATAGAATTGATGAGGGAAAAAGAGTGAGTGGTGCACTTAGGAGTCTGTGGAGACAA